CCCGGAGGCCTGCAACAATATTCCACGCTGAAGGCAAACCAGTCAGTAAATTTATACACCTTCATAGTTTAAAGTTCTAACTACAAAAAAAAAAAAAAAAGGTCAGTCCAACCTCCAACTCTCATGAATTTGCAATTTCTGATTCTCTACCACAAGAAGGTCGTTGATTTCTTCATTATAGATTTCCATGTAAGAAACTCGAATAAGAAACTCACGATCAGATGCCTGAGAATCAATTGGCTCAAAATCAGGCATCATCATGAAAAGAAAAGGTAAATCGAATTCAACAACTCCTGGCAGTACCTACCATCTGAATTTGCGAAATATATCTTCAACTGCACGAGGAATTAGCCCCGGATCTGTTTCTGAGCCATTCATAGTGTAAGTCTTGCCACTACTGGTCTGCCCATAAGCAAACGCAGTTCCTGCACGCGCATGGCCCAACAATTAACTTCAGCATCAGCACAGCGACATGGCACATTAAAAATAAAGTCCTGTCTTGTTTTAATTTTAGTTGAATATAGCTTGCAATGCTCAGGGACAGAGCAAAACATACCATTGAAACCTTCCACAGCAGCATTTATAATATCCTTAGTAAGGAGGTCGTAGACACTAGCATTTGTGCTGCTTTCATCAAATATGTGGTCTGCAATGAAGGAAAATGGAACAGGAATGAGAATGAGAGAAAAGTAGGACATACTAACTCCATGAGAATGAATTTCGACAAGAATGAGGAAATACCAAAAGCATAAGAATAGGCAGACAAAGGAGTGCCATGAACCTTGTGAAGAGAAATGCGATTCTCTTCAGCCTTCCAGAAATTACCACAGAAGGAATCCTCTGAAATCCGAGGCCGAACTCGGACTGCGACGCAGATCTTCTCCATTTTATCAAAGATCTATCCACGATCCTGGGTTACCTCAAGCCTAATGCTAATTGAATATTTGCCACAAGGCGGGCTGCGCGTCACTGCGAGAAAAGCTTTCTTCCGGATTTGAATTTTCTCCCATTTTACAGATTTGCCCTCGTTCTACAATATGACGTCCACGAGTCTGGGCCGAGCTATTTAGGTCTTCCAAATTTTGGATCTGACATTTTGGGCCTATTCGAATACAGACAGATTATGAACCGTGCTGATTATCTAGGACTTTTTAGCCTTAAGATCCATTTAGCAAGCGAACAGAACTAAGTTTCAAATTCACATTCAGAAATATGTCTATATTTAGTATCTAATAATATTTTAAATAAGATTATTTTTAATAAGAAAATACTTGTACCTAAAAAAAAGTATAGTAAGAATTAGAATAACCATGCTAATAGAGTATTAATACCTTATATATGTAAAAAAATTATCTGCTTCTTCTCATCAATAAAGTTTTTAATTAAAAATTTTTGTCTATTTTTTTCATATTTTTCAATATATTTTATATATTATTACTCACAGTATTTAATATAAAAACTCGTTTGATTTTTAATTTAATCATTAATATAAGACTCCAATTCACTTGTCTCTTGTGTTTATTGATTTTTTTTGAAGTAGTCATTATAGTAATTGCATATGTTAAAGATTCTATTAAATAGTAGTTCTAATCAATACATATGATTAGTAAGGGTATTCTAGAAAATACAGCACATATTTAATATAAATAATTAACTTAATACACTTCTCTAATCTACTCAAATTAGTTAACTAACTTTTATATTAAAAATATGACGTGGGTGGAACATTGTAAGAATCGAAAGAGTATATTTTCCCATAGACTTGGTCCAACAATCGAACATTTTAATTAGGTAATTGTTTAACAATGCGTCGTCCGTAAAAATCTCATGAATTTATGTAATACTACCTTCGATATTTAATATAAAAGCTCGTTTGATTTTTATTTTGATCCTAAATATAAGACCCCAATTCACTTTGTCTCTAATATTTATGTATTTTTTCCAAGATAGTCCTTTTAACGATGATAGTTTTAGCTAATACACTTGATTAGTAAGGATATTTTAGGAAAGACAATACCTATTTATGACAAGTAACTAACTTAACTTATTTTCTTAATCTCTTCAAATTAGTCAATTAACTCTTATAATTAAGACCGGAGGTAGTATTTATTCAAGTGCTAGCAGAGCAAAGTAGCATGCAAATGAAAGCAGCTTCGAAATTAAAAAAATAAAATAAAAAACAAATGGAGATTCATGACTCATGAATTTATGTAATATTTAATACGTAATCAAATTTTTTTAGGGGGGAATAGAAGGTAACTCCATATAATTTTCCTTTTATGCGCATCTATCATGCCCTTCATAAAAAATATTTTTCCTCATGCATATAATTCTACATTCCCCAGTTTGCTCTCATAAAATCATTATTTTTTTAATGAACAAAACTTACCATTAATATAAACACCATACAAATAAGACATACGTTGATTATAACCACGGGTTTATTTAATAGTTTAAAAAAAAAAAAAGGGGGATCTGAGGAAGACAGTAATTTAGTTGTATTTTTTAAATATGTGTTATGTATAGTGGGTAGTAGAATATAAAACGATGAAAATCATTAATTGGACCAAAAAATTTTCCCAACAAGATATAAATAATTTCTTGTAGTTTTTTAAAACACCTTCTTCGGTTTCCACGCTGTAATAAATAATTTCTTGTAGTTTTTTTTTTTGCCATTAACTTGTAGTTTCTATTATAGATTATTATCGATGACCTTTTTTTTTCTTTAAGATTTTGCCAAACTATTGATATTGGACAAGATTCGAGGAGATTGAAAAATCAGTCGCCAACTCGCCTAATCTAAAACCAAGTAAAATCAATTAATATAAAACATGAAATACGAGCACGACCTTTTATCTAGTTTTGAAGGCTTATCCATCTACCAGTCGAAAACGGACATTTTTCGGAGTAAACAAAATCAAACCGTAACTGAAAATCATTACAAGAAATAAAATAATAAGGTTAGGCAAGGGCCAGCTTCTTTGAAGTGATGAAATTTGAAATAATTCAGGCCCCCAAAAAAAACTGAAATTTTGAAACAGGAAAGGTTAGGAATTAAACCACACAAATTAAATATCATTCGAGTGATAAAGTGTTGTCTTATCGATGACAAAAAGAATGAAAGACACGACAGCATTGAAAGGATAATGTAAATAATTAATGTTCGCCGCCGTTAATTATTATTGCTGTGTTCAGTAATAACCTATTAATCTAGCTTGAGAAATCAAGTTATCTCATCAAGATTAGCACATATAACTAAACTTGTATTAATTACTACCTCCGGTCTTATAAAAATAAGACCTCATTTGTAGTATTGATATTATAAGAATATAATTTCTATTCTATTTCTATTTTATTTTTTAGAAAAATAGAGAAGAAAATATTTTGTTGTGTATGAACAAAATATTGAGGAATTATCTGTCTATAAGCGAGAGGCCTTATAAATAAGACCCGAGGTATTAATTAATACAAGTTTGATTATATGTGCTAATCTTGATAAGATTGTCTTATAAATAGGATCTAAGATAATCTATCATGTCAAAATATAGCTCCTCTTTCTTTCTCCAAACTCTGGAACAACAACAATTAATCTTCTGGTAGGTTCCAGTATTGAGAACTTGCTCATGAAGAAAAGTGAGGAACAGAAGCTTGACTGCGTACGTTGTTTGTTAATTATGGTCAACAAGAAAATGAGAAGGGGCCCCAATTGAAGAATAATACTTACGGATGAAGAAGCTGTATATATGTCCTTTTTTTTAATTAATTTCTTCACATATTTTTTTTATTTTTTTTTATTTAATGTTGTAGTGGTGAGAGTAATATAAAAGTTTGTGGATTTGATGGGGACTCCGAATCTGAAAATGAGATCCATTCCTTGCACTTGGATGGAAAAGGACCCACTCATCAGAAAAGAGAGAGTAGTGTGACTTTGTGAGGTAATTAAACTGTCCATGGCCTTCAAAGCAAGCACGCATGTTCGTCTTTCTCTTTTTGTTTCCTCAATCATTGAACACGGCAAACACTCTGCATGCTTCATGTTGATATTATCAGATATTACTAATTAATTCACATTCAATTAATCAATTCTAATTCTTTCATGGACGTCGTTTTGTTTTGGGTCGTCTAATGATGTTGAAAATTCTTGACATGTACATATTATCATTGACATGTACATATATGTGTGTGTCTATACAACAGCACTAAATTAATAAGCACTGATCTGATGCGCATTATATTTTGATATACTCCAATATTTTGTTCGTTTTGATGCAGTGTGTGATAACGTAATAAGAACCGACGCAATTACACCTACCCATACAGCTACGTGAGATTGATTTTCCAGTGGCTAGCTTTTCCCTTTTTTTTTTTTTTTTTTTTTTTTCAATTCTACGCGTATCGTCCTGATTAAAGTATTCGCATGAATTGCAAGTGGGATAACACACACACAGTGACGTACTCCGTATGTGTGCGCGCGTGCGCCATTGGGGATTCCCCCCCCCCCCCCGAGTGAAGCCAATAGGAATTCTTTGACGAGCATATGTAGAAAATAACTTTGTGGCTGGATGATCAATGTTTAGTACTCCTCCGGTCCTTAATATAAGACCTATTTAACTAATTTGATTAGATTAAAAAAATCAGGTAAGTTAGTTAATTATAAGAAATATGACGCGTTTTTCCTAAAATACCATAATCATATTTCTTAATACTCCATCTTTATCTTCTACTTGATTATGGTTGAAAGAGTATCCATAGGAGTAATCTAGAGATAATTGATAAATATGAGAAATGGGTCTTATATTTAGGACCAAAACCAACTCACCAATTGAGTCCTATATTAAGGACCGGAGGAGTACATATATAGTCTAACTACAATTTCAGTCTTCCCCCTTTTTTTGTTGGCCAACAATTTCAGTCTTCCCATTTAAAAATAACACAACTCTTATCTTTTAATATAATGACATGACAGAACTCAAATGCAACTATGTGAGCATTAATATCTTATTAGAATAATACCTACAATATAAATTTATAATAAGCCACTGCTTAGAGGTAATGAATAATAATAGAGTGACCTTTATTAAATTAAATGTAGAGCATGGGTCACATGATATCGAGGGCTATTTTTTAAACCATCAGGGAGGCAAACTTTTCAATGAGCCATCATCCGCTAATTTTATTATATTTTCAAGCTGTACATGCACAACATTATCATAATAATATACTATGACCGATCTTTAATATAAGAGATAATTAATTAATTTGAATAGATTAATTAAGAAAAATAGTTTAAGTTAGTTATTTATGATAAATAAGTGTTGTGTTTTCTAAAAAATCCTTGCTAATCAAGTGTGGTAGCTAGACATATCATTATTATAAGGATTATCTTGAAAAAAAAGAATAAATATAAAAAGATAAAGTGAATTGAGATTTTATATTTATGACTAAAATAAAAATCAAATAAAATCTTATATTAAGGACAGGAAGTAGTATTTAAAAAAGGGTTATATGCATTTTTGACATCCAATATTATGTTGAGACAACAAGGATTCAAATCCTTTGAATTAATAATTGATCAATAATTTAGAAACATTTTATTAAAAGGAAGATTGTAATCAATTGAACATTGGAAGGGTTAAGATGATAAATTGATACCGCACGATAACAAACTAAGAATGGCTAAATTCATAATGTGATATTTGCAAAATTTCTATCTCTCACATACGCGCATCATCTACATATCCTTCCGTGCATATATAATGGTTTGCTGCTGGAGTATCTCTTACCCCACCTTCATATATATATATATATAAATATATATATATATATATATAATTGTCAATTTGTGCTCTCATTAAGTAATTATAGTAGCAGCAAAAGGTGACTAGCTGTATTATTTGGATTTTTCGGCATTAAAAATGACACAAACTGCTCAGGCGGGTCACACATATTTAGTATATTTTACAGATGATCAATACAAACTACACGTGGGGATCATCTGTGAGATATTGCGACAATTTTAGCCAAACGTTTTCATTTTGCTCTTTGGTCATTTGACTGTTATGCGCTTTCTTTCTTAATCTTACTTTGGTTTTTCCTTTTTGGTTCATCAGGTCCTGGGGCGAGAGAGTGGTGGAACGAACACGTACGGGAACGCTAAAGAATATATAATCTGGTCATGAATATGCCACCTAAGTGTCAGTACTATTTCCCCGGCCCTCCTATAAGTTATTGCATTTGCTTTATCTCATGCATATATATGATTAAAAAGAGAAAAAAGGCAAAAAGAAGAAAAGGAAGGAGGGTTAGCTATAAAGAGAGACAGGGAAGGCGTGTCTCTGCAAATATCTTTCCCCACCAACGTCTTTGGTCAAGTCCATATGATCAAATTAAATAAAGATATTCTGTCCAACAAGACTATTAATCATAAGGAGGGAAAAACACAGAGGTTGAATTGCTACAACGTTAGGCTTGGCCCATACAAGCGACGTGTGTGTACTGTGTGTTTTTACATTGAATGTGACACCCATGATCCCAACAATTAACATTCCAGCGAAGATGCCCGTCCGGCCTCATTTGTTTTACTAGCTGGCTCCTTCGTTATTTCTACATCTTTCTCGCTAATCATTATCAGAACACTACACATTAATTAATTAAAGCAGTTAAAAGAAAAAGGTAATGATAACATTATCAAAAAAGCAAGACCTCTCATGTCTCTACATTGTACTTCCAACGACGTGGGGCTTCTCCAAACCAGTACCCCTTTCGTTTCTTCTCCTACTTACAACAAAAGAAAACAAAAGAAACATCAAACACCTAACTTACAGTTCACTTATATATGGGTCACCTCCATCCACGAACCAGTTTCTGGTTCAGTGTGGCGTGAGAATGAGTTTTTATTGTATATATAGTGAGACCTCTACATATATATAGTCTTTCTTTTGTTCCTGGTTATTGTTTAGGGGCTTAGAGTGGTATCCAGAGCCCGATATAGATGCGACAGCCGGGACATGAGGAATTCGGATTCGGATCTTAGTTGGGCGTTCTCGAGGGAGACTATGACGTGCTGGTGAAGGGTGAAGCCCAGCTGGTTTTTGAGTTCTCGGTTTTCAGTTTTTAGGCGGTTCACTTGGCTCGTGAGGTTCTCTAAATGCTTCTTCTTTCTCCAGCGGGACCGCCGGGCTGACTCCCTGTTCGACTGCATGCGCCTGCGCCTTCTCTCGTCCAACGAGTAAAGTGCCCGGGTTGATGCTTGCGAACCGGAGCTGGGACTGGCCGGATCCTCGCCTCGAATGAGGGACAATAACTCCTCTACCTCACCTGGAGTCAGCAAGGATTGAAGCGTGCATGAAGGGAACTGGAGGGATCGGACGACGTCGTCATGGAAGAACATGGCGGAAGCAGCAAGAATAATGAAAGAAAAACCGGCGCTTCAAGAGTGAACCGGAGAGAGGAAAGGGAGGGAAAAGGGGAGAACTGAAGCCAAGGAGTCGGCTATTTATGGACCAAAATCAGGACATGGGGGCCCCATCAGAGCAAAAGATATCGGAAATAAGGTCATATTCGTCCAAACAAAATCAAAAGCAGAGTACGTGAAATAGCTTTAGGATTCTCAAATCAGAGCTTTTTAAATAAAAATATGTGCAAATTATAAAAGTAGTTTTGGCCCACAAAAATAAAAAGCTTATACAGCATCATAACGTTACTATTAATCAATGTTAACAATAAGCCACAAGAGGGCAATTTCCTTGGATTTTTCATAAATACACAGATGTGTTCTAAATATAGGAGTTGATTAAAAATTTTATCTTAATTCTAAATGTAAGATGTCAATTTAGCTTCTCTAAAAAATTTATAAATCTTTTCTCAATTACATTATTGCATTTACTCTATACAAGGGGTTGACTAATGAAGGTACAAAGTTTTTAATGCAAATAATTAAATAGAGAATTTTAAAAATTAAAAATCAACACATATTCTTAAATAATATAAATAATTTATTACAAATAAATAATTTAATTTTTTTTATTTTTATAAATTAATCATATGGTTCTTATCTTTATACCTAGATGGAGTATATATTCTTAAAATGATATAAATAGTGACGCACGAAAAAACATAACTAAAAGACGACTAGAAGAGTCGAGTGAAATTTTTAAAATAAAAGACTTTACACATATCTTAGTCAAGTCTTTGTTCGTGAAAAAGGTAAGATTAACTTTTTGCTTTTATCGTATCATGGTATGAGGATGGGGCCATTGGGAAGAGATTGGGTTTTTTTCATTAAAAAAAAAAAAAGAAGAGATTAGGTTTAGCTTAATGACGAAGGATCAAGCATAATTACATGGCCACCAGTTCGACGAATTAACGAGTTGACAGAACGTGCGCCGAAGTCATTTTAGTTACGCACATAACAACACAGTGAAAAAGGCAGCCACCAGTAGCAACCAGCCACCGTCCACCAATCTGCATCAAAGTTTAATCCAAAAGCTGCTTCGTCAACTTTCCAGCTTTACGCAAAACCCAATTAAAAATTAATCACGATTAATTTTTACCTGACACATAAACCACTATTTTTATCTGGAATTATAATATTAATACTACTAGCAGGTCAATTTTGGTGCATTAACGTATGAACTAAGAGATCAGTGTCCACAGATTCATTTCGATCTGATAAAACACCAAGTTTTACTTTTCAATCACTAGATCTAGAGAATTCTTACACGTCCGAGCAGAGCGTAGAATGGTTATAAAGGTATTGCCATACTATGATAAGAGAGAATGAGGTGCGTAATGGAAAGGAATATTCTGGAGGGCGTTTTCTTAGTTGAGCATATATCCTGAGACAGTTGCTTCACCTGGACCTAATTAATCATCTATTGATTAATATTAAAGCATCTGAGAGTGGGGGATAACATGGGCGACAGTTATTTAAGTCCTTAATTAATTTAATGAATCAAACAAAATTCAGAAACCTCGTCTTTTTGTGCGTCAAAGTAGGCTGCACATGCATCAACTGAAATTTTATTAGCAAGAAGAATATGCAGTGCCCTTTAGATTCCTCTGCTATCAAATGTTGGCAGCATAATGTCCCTTTAGCTTTTCATCTTTTAGTCCTCTTGATTTCTGGAGGGCCATCCATTCCATTAGTTATCTTTTACCTAAATTCCGTGGATAAGTTTGGATAATGAACTTAAAAGGAGGCTATACATAATCATTATCATGAGATGTTATTTTATTAATTATGAACTAGCTGCTTTTGGATGAGAGTTCAATTTGAAGTAGTCTACATTGGGGGAGAGAACTATTGCAATACAAAGAATTGGGTTGTTTCAGAGAAAACCAGAGAAACAAAGCCTGTAGGATGCCCTTGAAGGGGGGCTTCGTCGTACTTATATTGCCCTTTTTCGGCCAACCAATCAACGACTCTCTTTCCATAGCAAAGGTTGACGTTACGGTTAAAGAGGTCATCCTAGTTAGTGGTTACGTTTACGTTGTTGCTTCAAAAAGGTTATTGCTCCATGAGAATCTTGTATACACCAGATGAATGCGAAGGTAGGGATAGTCTTAGGTATTAATATTACTAATTGTTGCTCCAATGAAACGATGGGCATGATCATTTTATTAATTAGAGGGTACCGAGCAGTTTTTACTTTTGTAAATTTTTTCTTTAGACGTCATACCTAATTACCGGTGTGTTTATGTTAAATTAGGATAGCAGTCTAAGCTTCACAGTTCACGGAAGCAAACTTAGAAGAGTGGGGCCACAACAGAAAGAAATGAACTTCAAAGCGCTAACGCTAGAAAGCAAATATCCAACAAAATAGCAACATCGTCAATAACGACAACAATAATAAACCTTTCCCGTATTCCTCGCAATTTGCGAGTAAGATGCAGCTCAGAAAAAAGAATTACATGAACCTGATTATAAATACACGATTGTTTGATCAAGCAAAATTGATTAGTTAGAGCACCTCGATGCTCATAACCTCCCCGGGGAATGGGGATGGACCTTCATAGACTAACAATGACTAATTAAACAGCGACCCTTTTTTAATCAGACAATTAAACACTACTATGAATCCAGTCCATGGGTATATGGTATGATCTGGGACTAATTTCTTTCGTCTATCTCCAGGGGGAAGAACCAGAGGGCGGAGTAAGAACAAATTTAAAAATGAACCTGACTTACTGAGAACCTGGGAATTGACAGTGTCACAGTAATCCAACAGATGATACAACGTCTATATCACATTATCTAAAACTGAGATTCAATATTCACCAAAAAAAAAAAAAAGAACTAAGATTCAACAAATAGCCATAAGATGCTCAAACCAACATCAAATATGCACACTTTGATGCCTGCACATGGAACATGCACCTATAGACAATTGTCAGAGGGGGGAACAAATTCCAAAATATGACGTGGAAATTTTGGTTTCAATCTCCCTTGTTTCTCCCGTAGCAGGCACAAATTCATCAGATATTCACATGTTCACCGGAGGAGCTCCCTGAATATGAGAATCAAACAATTATTATCAGTACTTCCAAAATAAGTGAGGCCCGCTTCCCATGATACCGCTGAACTAGAAGACTATTTAATTGAAACCCACACGAAATAAGAGAAGACTTCACATAGAGAAGGTAACAGTTTCCTAACACGCAATCTCATCTCATTTGCCAACAGATGATCATTTCAAAATCTCACCTTGAACAGAAGATCATATGCTATATGCTCCCAGGGCAAGGATACAGACATTAAGCTGCATTTCAAAGGTATCAGTTCATAATCAAAATCGGAGCTAGAGGAAGAGGCAGCCGCATAAGCATGTTTTGCTGCAACAGATGCGACGGATGCTGCTCTGCGAACAATTGAGCCAATTCCAAACCCTTTCTTTGATACTATTGGAGAGAAAGGACCTGAATCCTCCTGACTTTGATCTGTCATTGCAACAGCAAATTCATTTATCCAGTCATCTCATCCTTGTTACATAATAACACTAACAGCAGATTCCTACACCAGGGTGTCTCCAGTGAGGAGCCTCATTATAAAATAGGGCACTGGACAAGACATTACATTGCCTCTGAGGATTTTATGTATATTCCAAGTCTATAAATAAGCACTTGGGAGCTTGGCATCTTGACGGAATTATATTTCAATTGCAATCACATGATGTAAAGCAGACAATAAGTGTAAAATATGTTACGGCTACTAAATGTCAAATTCCATTCTTCTCCGCTCATAAGCAAAGTAACATTAGTGCCTAGGGTTCCATGATGAGATTTCTGAAGTCCTAGTAACCAACATATTGCCTACCTGTAACACTGGAAACAGCTACTTCAACTTCCCCACGGCCTCCAGGACCTTTCATATAAATTCTGTCTGTTTTGCCCGCGGAATGACCCCCTGATAAAAGGCTACCAAATCGAGACTTGCCAGCTGTGCTTTAAGAGGGAAACATGTGAGGCAACTGATACACTAGTATCTCGCACTCATTAGCAATGTAAAATATGATAAACTCACAATTTCACATTATATACGTAATTCTTAATTTTAACGTGGTAACAAAGGGTGATCATTTATGGATGAAACTCTCATTAGATGAGGCAGAATATAAGTTGATTGAACTTCCCCTGTAACTGAATCTAAGACAACACTATAATGCAACCCTTCAGGAGATATAGTCAGATATTTATCTCATTCAACAGCCAACATTTACAAGAAAACATCACAAGTTCAGTGCACTTAAAACACAGCTTCACTCATAGTAACAACAGTAAAACAGAGAACACAAGAAAACAGAAGAAATATGATGATAAAGGACTGCTAGCATTTAGGGTCTTTACCAAAATTCTTCACACTCATAGCCCCTTCAGCCAAAACACTACCCACTCTAAACACCTCTCTCTCTCTCTCTCTCTCTCGCTCTCATCCAGACCACCACTCCTCACCTGCACCCTCAAGAAGTTATTGACTTGAATTTACCATTCTGTTCCTCATGGCCATCTCATCACCTTTGGCCCCTCTAGAATATTCCTTAATTTCAGGCTCACTTTCTCTCCCCTCTTTCTCTGATTCCCATGTTTGCATGTACGTCTTAGTGACAGTAGGGGAAATAGTAAACCCATCAGAAGGTTCCTAGAGATTAATCCACATTATCAAACTGCTTTAGGCACGATTGTGCTAGAAACTCTAAGATGGGTGGAGAATCGTAACAGGGCTCTGCAGAGGATTTATGTAAAGATTAATATTATATCTCAATCAAAGTTTGTGAAAAGTTCAGATTTCTCAGGTTCCCAAGGCACGACAAATTAGATCAGTGTGTCACGTGAGGATTTTTGTAAATCACCTGAAGGTTCAACAATTTCAGGTGTATTTAAAATGTCTCCCCTTCATTCACTCTATAGACAACATTACAAAAATGAATGCTCGATTATGAAAGCAATTATCCAGATAGAGGTCACTGCAGGAAAAAATTACCATCATGTGCATCTCGAACCATCTGATAGCTGACAAACCCTGAGAAAAGGGTAAGCTGTAAATAACAACCACCATCAAGTCAGCATGTGTAGGACTACAAATTGATCACATAAGAAATTCTTGCATAGTGCAATTTGTCAATTCAATCATCAAAGGACATAAGTCAAAGAACTATTTTTCTGAAAATAATACTCTATTATACAATGAAAAAGGTAAGGGTTGCTTAATGATTGGCAGATACTAAAAGAAGTTCATATATTTTCAAATGCACAAGGAGGCGAGTCATAGACACCAACCAAATTATTATCATTTACTTTTTCATTTGATACATTCATATAAAAGCTACAAAATTGAAGCCAATACTAGTTAGAACTACTATAGACTTCCATCATCTAAATCTATATTTTCTTATTGCTCCAGAAGATAATCGTTTATACTGTCACAATAAGTCCTCCGACCAAATTATCTGTAAATGCCTAAGCTTCCATCTTCAAAATTTCTCTTTCACATTTCTTTAAAGAAGAAAGATACGAAATTAGTGAGAATAGTTTAAACTTGTTAAAAGATCCAGGGCGCAATTCACAAAATTGTAAAAATAAGCCTTGATATTTCAAGAACAAAGGCAAGCCTACAAGCACCATCTGAGCACTGCAATGAACAAACGTGAACAATGTTTATACAGCACATTCATTGTTACAGTAAAATTAACCAGCATCCAATCCATACTTTTGAAACACATACGAAAGCAATGCATTCATCTCTAAACAAGAACGTGCCAATCAGAAACACAATCATTCTGATAGAGAATGGAATTCACACTATAACTGGGTATTGGCCGAACCTTAGTGTCCTTTCTCTTTAAGGAATTAGGATCAACTCTAGAGTTATCATTAACACTGCAATCGTGTGATTCCTTACTAGGAAATGCTGCCCCATCATGTGCGTTAAGAACTACACAATAGCAATGGTCCTTTTCAGTTAAAACCTGCAGAAAATTTAGGGGAAAAAATCAGGTAGGCTCCCACAGTTATCAATTAGAACGGAAGTTGTTCATGGCATCCTTCTCGCTAGACATGGAGAGTAAGCATTCTCATGGAAAATGAAACCACAAAGAACATGTAATACTCACACCTTCCAGATGTGACAATGGGATTATAAATTCAATGAATGACTAAAATGAGTGAATTACCACCGCATCAAAAGTGGAGTCAAAGTCATCAATTGCAAAACAAATATCTGGATAAGCAGGTGTTGTCTCCACTTCCTGGATACATGTTGATGACAGTGTCATTGAAGATAACAATCTCAAAAATTAGTACTCCTTTCACTCCAAGGGCGTAACACATCCAAAATGATAAATATACTTGCCTTTTCAAAGTTCAACTGAAAATTTACACGACTTGGAGATGCATACACAGTTTTTACAACCTGAGGAGGTGCAAAGAGCCGCAAAGCAAAATTAGACGCATTCTATATTGCTTAGAGATAAACGCGTGGGTTTAAAGTCACATGAAAAATTCTATAGTCCAATTAAATAACACTGAAACCTTAGCTTAAAAGTCACCCCAACAAACCATGGGAGAGACATCAGTCACAGACACAAGCACCATCATAGCCATGGTGAATTCAGGAGGAAAGTATCCTCTGAAGAGGTTGAAGGAGTTGTATAAAAGAAAAGCAAAATCAACTAATGTAAATCAACGGATGTTCACAAGCATATAATGGCAGAACTTGAAGCAGAACCAAAGGAGAAAAAACCGGAGTCTCAAAATAAACTCTTTGGAACCCTAGGTCAACATCAACAATAAAGATGAATAAAAAGACACCCCAATCTAACCATATGCATTTTGTATCAGAATTATTCTGGAGGAAATTCAACTCCTAAAAGCAATCGTAAAGTTAAGGAACTGACTGTGATTTTAAAGGATTGACAAAGTTTCATGATACTGCAATTACCTTATATATAGGGGACAATGGTGTACTTTGTGAAGCTTGATGATTCCGAAGAACCTGGTGACTGGAGAAAGAATAGCTCAAATTCCATTGATGAATGTTTATGGAAAACAAAAGGAACAAGAAGTTTAAGTGACGGTGTTTTATAGTCCTGATCTCTATCCTTCTACGGCCATCCATTCGAAACATATAACAACCCTCTCCATTAAACTGGGGAATGGTTCAATCATATTTAAGGCAATAAACCTAACTATAATCAACATATGTACTGACCCAATAAAAATCAATATGAAGAAAACAACTAGAAAAGGTGAAAAACCAATCTACAGCCACTGAATAGATTGCATCCAACTTTTGCAATAATTTGATATGTATACAGCCACGTAAACCCAACAATTGTGGGGAAAAAAATCTAAAATATTGTACACATCAATGACATCCACGATAAAATAAAAGCTATGAAACTGTAATGAATACTGGAGGTTGTTTAAAAGGAGATCTATTCTTGCAGACAAGAAGAGGCCATAGAATGAAACAACTCACTGATCCTGGTAACATTCTGACCAGAGATGAAGTAGATATAAATTCTAGGCAGAGTGTAGAACACTGCTTCTTAAAAACATGGTGAAAACAATGGTATACAAGAAAACGGGGGAAAAAACATTACCTGCAAATTGCAATAGTTACACTAAAGGAGGTATGAGCAATTAAGTTCAAGTAAAATGAACGCCTCCAGTCAACATCTGTAGAAGTTTCATCAATTAAGTCGTCCAACTGGTCAAAAAGTAAACAGGATTATTTGGCATCACAATGAATTGCTTGCCACATCCCATGTCAACAAAAAAAATTATTGATACTCAAGAAATTTAGCAATCAAATATGGAATTCACAAAGTAAATACTGCAATTGCAAATGAGTAGCAATCACCTTAATGTAACCAATTCTCATTGGAACCAAAATCACACAATTCCAAGTTTCCAACAACAATGGGGAGGGACAGAGGCAAAGTGAAGCATAAGTACATGATGATGACATGAAACTGATGTCTAACTACATCCTAGCTCACAAGATGGGGGGAAAAAAAATGCAAACCAAATTCAGCTTGGGGCAAAATACGAGCTACATGTCAGGCCATGTTTTAAAAATTTGAAGGATGGGCAGTGTTAACATGTCTAACAGCCAAATATCCATAAATTCTAGTTACACTCAAGTATCGGTGTCATATTGGTATAGCAACAATTTTCATGTATTAGTGCAAGGACTAAAGGATGGAAATAAAGACTTTACCAAGATGCTTCTCTTCTAAATCTTCTGAGATGTAATGATTTGAATAAGATGAAAAATTAACATACTAATATGGCGTATGTGACCAAAAAACAAAAAGAAAAAGAAAAGTGTACAGGCATCTGTGAAGTGCAAAAATATTGCAACAGAATGCTAGAAACAGTTTGAACTTCACTAGCAGTAACATGGCTAATTTAAGTGAGTGAAGTTTCAACATACTTCACAATTCAATGTGAGTTTACCTTAGGAGCCCACCTGCGTACAAAGTAAGGAGCATCGCTCACCGGATTATTGTAGGAAGCATATCCTTGAGATCCCTGCAGGAAACATTTATAAAGAATAGAAATAACGAACACTCTAACCTTGCAGGAGAAGCAAAACATCCTTACACTGATAGGAAACCAGCAGTTCGGTTACTGGAAAACAATAAAAGGCAATCCCATTTTCAAGTTTTTACTGTTTAACGTAACATACCAATTTCCTGACAAAGAACACGAGATCGTCATCTTGCCGTCCCCTTGACTCCTTACCACGAATAAAATACAAATCAAAGACGTCGTGCCAAAATTTCATATCCATTTCAACGTCAGGAGCATCACTCTCCTCAACAATGGTTTTTCCCAGTAAGTTAGAGTGCTTCTTCACCATGCTCAATAATTCATACCTTTTAAGCATAATAATGAGCAAATCAGATCCCCATTATGATACCAAAAGTTAATTTAATAGTAAATCACAAAATTAATCATCGAACTAGGACAGCAAATTACAAAGTGATCCTACAGAAGGAATTAAAATAAATATATGCAGCATCATATGGCATCAATCAGCGCTTGTATTTCGAATTTTCGAGCAAGACAAGAAAAACCATTCATTTAGAGAATCGAAATACTTCAATATAGGCTGATGAAAAGAAACAGTGAAGTCGTGAAAGCACCTCGTGGGCGTTTCCCCGGTATCACTAAACATTATCGTGTGAATTGCTCGTTCACCGTGTAAAACAACTTATGTATCAAACAGGAATCTTCGGGTTTCAAAGTCAATACGGGGTTTATAGCCAAAATTTACTTGAGAAGAGTGTTTGGCGATATCACCCCACGTAGCTCCTGTGCGACGTGAACACTAAACAAGAAGGGGGAAACCTGGCAGCAGTTATTTATGGGTGGTGTGTCTGGTTCTTTTGGCAAATATATTTCCGAGATGCCACCTCATGGCAAAGTCGTTGTAGTATAGTGGTGAGTATTCCCGCCTGTCACGCGGGCGACCCGGGTTCGATCCCCGGCAACGGCGTATAATTGTTTTGGCTGCTTACAAAGCACCGTTTCAGGAAATATTTGTTCCTTTCAACCTTTTTTGGTGTTGGCCCAAACAAACAGAAAAAATAGTCGATTTCGGTGAAAAATCGAGGCAGGAACTTGGCCCGTTTCAGGCAAGTCATTACGCCTTTCCAACTTCTGCTTTGGCCCAAACAGACAGCAAAAAAAACTCGAATTTGGGTAAAAAATCCTGACTACTTATCCCTAGATGCCTAATTAGAACTTGGGAAAAAAAAAAAAACAAAAGTTTGCTTGTCATGATGCTCCTATGTCAGGGAAGACAGGTTCTAATAGATCAAACATTAGATATCCTGTCCTTAGATCGTAAGTGAGTCCAACCCTCTTTTCTAAAATTTTTGTAACAAAAAAAAAAAATTAGAAGACCCTAGAACCAAACCCGAAAGTTCCGGCATCAAGGAAATAGGAGTTAAGTTCAGTGAAACGAGTTGATTGTTTTCAGGAAAAAAATATTTTGTTTTAGACATGAGTATCCTTCTATTAATAATTAATTCAAGAAAAGCTATAAACACAGTCCAATTAAATCATAGAGGACGCCAGCCACTCAAGAAGGGGAACAACTTCATAGGGACGGAACCAAGCTAAACCAATCAGCCATCGGAGCAGCTTCTGGGCATACAAGCATCTATGCATCAGATTAATTTAGAGCCACCCCACAACCTAGAAAATAAATAAATGCATAGAATGCGAGATAATAGCGCGTAATTTTAGTTCAGAGACCGACAAAAATAGATATATATAACATTCCATATATTTTTGCATCAAAACAAATTCAATTGTATTAATGAATATTTCTTAAACTTTATGTATCAGTTACTACCTCCGGTCATAATTATAAGAGCTAGTTAACTAATTTGAAGATATTAGAGAAAGAAGTTAAGTTAGTTATTTGTTATAAATAGGTTGTCTTTCTTAAAATATCCTTACTGATAAAGTATATTGGTTAGAACTATCATTGTTAGAAGAAATATCTTGAAAAAAAATGCATAAATATTAGAAACAAAATAAATTGAGATCTTATATTTAGGATCAAGATAAAAGTCAAACGAGATCCTTTATTAAGGATCGGATATAGTATTTTACATGTGTACGCACGTGTGTGTATAAAGAAGATCTCAATTTGCAATACCTTTAAACTATAATGTTATCCTCTTTTTCTGTATGCTGTGCTTCATATATTCAATCTGTGTATTCGTCTTACAAAGTTCAAATATACCTTTAAACCCGACATTAGTAAATCAACGCTCCCAATTCACTTGTTCAATTCAACAGAACGAATATGAAATTTCATTAGTCAAACTCTGTGTTGACTCTTCAGCTTGAAGTTAACTGGCACAAGTCAACTCTGCGTGTGCGTAACACACTAACATGCGTGTGCATCAAACAACTTTTTTAAGGCTTATCACGATTGAAGGCTATTGAAGATTTTGATATTGACTAAAATTATATTACACCTGATTCTTAATATAAAAATTTATTTAACTTTTAATTTGGTCATAAATATAAAATCCTAATTCAGTTTATTTTTCATATTTATTTATTTTTTTAAGAGAATCTTTATAGTAATTGCACACGTTAAATATTTCATTAAATGAAACTTGATTAGTAAGAGTATTTTAAAAAATAATAATATATATTTATTACAAACAGTATTAAATTAGTTAATTAGTTCTTATATTAAAGATTGGAGGTAGTAACATCTAGAACAAGTAACTTATTTAAATATTAAGATTTGATTTGGTTATATTCTGAATATATTAATATATTTTGTTTTCAATGTTTTTTAATTTTTCTCCCCACTAATTTTTACCCTGGTTGGCACATTTTAAAAAGTTTTTATTAAGGCGATGCACATAATTGATTGGAGTATTTTAATTAACTTCGTGGTTTAAACAGCATCTAAAACAAAACCCCTCGTCTCTATATCTCTGATTCTTTCCCCCGTTCTGCCTAATTAAACACGGGAACACGAATCCGTTTCACCGCCATGTCGTTATTCCTCGAAGTTCGAAGCACGGCGAGGTTACATTGGATTCCTTGAGCAGGTGGGAAAAAGTGAAGAAAAGTAAAAGAGACTTTGTTCGGTGACAGCATGATCATGACCCAAAACGACAACATCATTCAATCCGATGGACACGGGCAAGACCTTTTTCATTTTTAAATTTATCAACTTTAGCTTTTGCTTCACGTCTTTCACCTCGCACAGTATAATAATCTTCCGAATCAATCCTCCGAATTAATTATCTCCTAACAGTAGTGCAAATTGAAAACGATCACTCACAGAAGATCACGGTGGTGACCCCAGTAATGATGTGTTTCCCACTCTCTTACAGCCACTTTATTTCTTCTTTTCTTGCCACCACAGAAATTCAATCAAATCACAGAGAAACTATGCAGTTCTGGAACCACATGAAGATGCTAGTAATAATGGATCGTCAGATTTCGAAAAATTTAGTCTGAATTATGATTTCACGAGCACATTATCATCAGAATCGTCAAGTGTGAATTAGTAATAACCCATTCTAGTTTCAAGATGGACAAGCTGATATTCATAGGTTAAAATTCAAAGCTCGGTTTCTGCAGTCTGCATATAGTCATGAATCAGATATACACAATTCTAGCTGATCGCGGACGATCTCTTGTTGATCACGCCCTTGGATTGAGCAAAAAATATTAGATTTGGACATAATTAAACTGTGCAAAACAAATATACTGATGACTAGTTTCTTCAGAAATAACGATAATTCATATGAAAAAGACAGGTGATATACTTTATTAGAATACATATGAACCATACTTGATTTATCTCGTATTGAAAGGCATGCAATCAACAATGAACAAAGTTACTCTTCAGTTTCATTTTCCAAAACATAAGCTTCCAGCGGCACAATTGACAATTCCCAATATATATTTATGACGACTCACCATGGAAAAAGAAGTTGATCTTGCTCAGGTGTATTTGTTTCGTCAATCGTCACTATGCAATACGTATATAATCAGACGTCTTCATCGGCGAGTACTCCTCCATTTTTCTTTGTTTTACCTGGATTCCTTCTGCGGCTGGCGGTGCCGCCCCCGTCACGGCGGAGATTACCATCGTTGAGGATCAACGGCACGTCGTTGGATTCTTCGATGTCTTCTTCGGTGGCGACGCGGATGCAGGAGCAACGCTCCAAGGATGCGAAGAAAGCAGTAGAAACTCCATTGATGAACCACATGGCCACACCGTCGAGCTTTCCGCAACCAGCCGCAGAGGGCTGGCTCGACGACGAGGAGGAGGATCGGGCCCTCGATTCCCCAGAGTTTGATCGCAGAGTGAAGAAGCCGGAGCAGCTGGATGTGGTGGTGGCAGCCATGGAATTCGCATCCACCTTCAATCTCGCCTCAACATTAAGATGACGGGTTTAAGAAGCCTTTCATTTTTCTAATTAACTCTGCGACTGTAGCTAGTTTTCATTATTAATATTACATAAACAAAATCATAAACGCGATATTTTTTTTCGTCCCTGAAGATATTTTCCTGTCAAATAGTTTTCAGCGTGTATTTTTTATATTCGTAACAGCGTAAAAAACGAGTAAATTATATAGACATCTTCCTTGTAACATTGTACAGACTATATATCAGTATACATGTCATTTCGCAAAGCAGACGAAGAGCAAAAATCGTACAGTCATTTCAAGAGCGTATATAAATCATTACTACTGTTTAAATCTGGATAGGTAAAATAGACAGCGTACTGAGCAGCACAGTAATAGTCCTTTAATAATAAGATTAGGTGTGAAATTACAAGGGACAGCTTCGAAATCATGATTAAAATTCCTTTATTTCCATTTGCACAGGCCTAAAAGCTGAAAGCATTAAAGAAATGGCCTGTGTTGCTAATCAAATACTCCTCCGCTCCTTATTATAAAACCCCATTTGACTTTTTATTTGGTCCTAATTATAAGACCCCAATCCATTTTGTCTCTTATATTTATGCATTTTTTTCCAAGATAATCCTTCTAATAATGATAGTTTTAGCCAATATACTTAATTAACAAGGATATTTTAGGAATGACAACACTTATTTATTATAAATAACCAACTTAACTTACTTCCTTAATCTCCTCAAATAAGTCAATTGGGTCTTATAATTAGGACCGGAGGAGTAATTAAAAGGAGCATGCTAATTGATTACGACAATATTAAGGGATGGGCCTAGTCATGGTTCCAACATCCGTGGTGCTTATCCCTTGAGTTCTTTTGATTAATGTTGGTTTAATTAACACGCCTTCTGTATAATGAATGTTTTCCCTACTATTGGAGATAAGAGATACCACCTCCGGTCTTAATTATAAGAGATAGTTAACTAATTTGAGGATATTAAGGAAAGAGGTTAAGTTAGTTGTTTATAATAAATAAGTGTTATTTTTCCTAAAATATCCTTGTTAATCAAGTGTATTAGCTATAACTATCATTCTTAGAAGAACTATCTTGAAAAAAAAATACATAAATATTATAAACAAAATAGATTGAAGTTTTATATTTAGGACCAAAATAAAAGTTAAACGAGGTTTTATATCAAACAGCGAGCCAGTATATTTCAAGTGGGTTATGATATCGCGCTCGCATGAAACACTAATCATTTCATTACTTGTCTGGAACAGACCATGAGTGTCAGAAAAACCATATTATTAATTTATGCTCATACGTCTCTTCTCGTGCTTACTTTACTCTTCCTTCAACATAATTACTTCATGTATCATCACTTGGACGGTTTTTTTTTTTTGGTAGTAGATGTGCAGTGATC